GGGGGGGGGGGGGGGGGGTAGAAACGGAAACCCCTCCCCCACACCATGCTCACTGCTGCTACAGGTGCTGCTATGGAGGAGGGAGGGGAAAGATGAGACACAGTCACAATCCCTCAGTTGCTTATAGACACCTGCAGAAGAGGGGATGCATAAAGTGAAGTAGATGTTCTGATGCATAGTTCTTCATATGCACCTGTGGACTTTATTGGGGACTTTCGCACAGTATTTCTGCTTGCAAGGTTTCCTCAGCCACAGTGCAACATCCTGCTTATACGTACTAGATATAAGACCCAAACTACATGTTATGCATGCTTGAAACCGTATGAAAGGTGAGGGACAGGCTATTTTGGGGAGAGATTTGGAATAGGGAAATGGTGGGGAAATGTTACACGTTCCCTCCTTCTCTTCCCATTTCTGCTTTTCTGTTCCCAGTCTGAAACAGTGTTTATTGTACAAAAATGTCTATCATTGCACACAATTGGCTGTAACCTATAGTTTGGGCCAAAGATCCTAGGTATGCAGAAGGGGAGGGGAAAGGAATAACCTTGCTGCTGCTAGCACTGCTCTTTTATAAACCATGCTAGATGTTTGCTCAGTGGGGGTCCAACTACATGCCGGCATTTTTCCTGGGGCTGTTCATAGTTCTGGAGCTGTGTACTTCCCAGGCATAGAAGGCCCCAATTCAGGTTGGGACCGTGGCATGTAGGGAAACAGACTGTCCCCCAGTTTGTCCTGTTTGGGAATGTCACATGCAGCCCATTGGTACATGTGAAACCGTCAAAAGGGCAAATAGCTGATCACTGGGGCTGGTTCAGGTCAGGGAAACAGATCTATGCTCCCTCTCCCTGGACACCAATGTCCTAATCTGTACTGGGCTCCTGCAAAGTATAGAACTCCAGAACACATATGTCCAAGCAACATGCAGACTTTCCTTGGGAAAATGTAACATGTTGTCTGTCCCTGAGGGAGCCTCTATACAAATTCCAAGCAACTACACAAGATCACGTTCACAAAATGGTATGGTACATTTGAACAACTGAAGGAATCTCACCTTGGAAAGGGGGAATGAGCGGAGCTCTGTCCCTTTTCAGGTTAAACCACAAACTTAACAGACTATCACGGGTGCTTATAAATATCTGCATTGACAACATTGAATTAATTAAGGCTATTAATAGCTTTCCTGGAACAACACATTTTTCCAAGAACAGAATGTACCTCCCTTTGTTCAGAATATACTTCTCCAATAATAAAACAGAATCTGGGCAAGACATATGTGGATTATGTACTAAACAGAATGGGGGTGGGAATCAACATATATTTACTTTGGTGGAATGAAACTTTGCTAGCTGGCCTGCTACTACTAAAAGCTCTTGTGGGTTGCCTCATCTATGTCTGTAGTACCAACAATGAAACTAAATTTTTGGAATATCCTAGTGAGTCTGCATACTGTTAAAACCTAATTTATACATGGCCTCAGAGATATCCAAAACATTATCAGAAACTCGGAGAATTGGGACTATTTTCTGTCTGAGGGAGAAAGGCATGTTGTGAAGCTGGATATTTAAGAGCTGCAGGAAACAGACACGAATAACAAAGGTTTTCTCAGATCATTATTGGCCGAATCCAGGCTCAATTTTCAAATGGTAGGATAGAAGTTTCCTGATTCCCTCCTTCCACTGCAGCCCACCGATCTCCATGAAAACCCTGCACCCAGGGTGAGGGGGTGAGGAACCTTGAGGAATGGCATGAGGGGGGGGGGTCTGCATTGGGAAGGGATCATCAATGGAAATCACAAATGTAATCTAGATCCAACCCAATGTTTGGAATCTCTTTGGATTTCAGTTTACCTATGCAGTCCAGGATCCATCCAACAGTCCCATCCCCTCCACAAGCCAGAATTCGAAAGTCTGGAGCATCACAGAAAAAATTTAATCTAGGGAAAAGTGGAAGGAAAAGAAAGGAGAGCAGGTTAGAACTGGCTGTTTATCATAAATGAGAGAGAATGCCAATCAGTGACTGTTGTTTTTAGAATGTTAGGATGGTGCACAAATGTGAAAGTGAAGAATGACATGTTAACTCAGGTCTTGCAGAGTTTTAAGATTACGATAGGATTATTAAATGTACAGTAAACAATTGAGCAGGGAAACTATGCAGGGCTCATTCCAGAGTGTAGTGGGTAGAGTGTTAGTGGTGTAGTGGGTAGAGTATTGGGCTACAGCACCCGGTATTCCCCAGGCGGTCTCCCATCCAAGTACCAACCAGGCCCAACCCTGCTTAGCTTCCGAGATCAGACGAGATTGGGCGTGTTCAGGGTGGTATGGCCGTAGGCCATAAAGTATTGGGCTTTTAGCTAATATCTCCAACCCAAATCATAGATGGGCTTTCTCCAGAGCCAGATTTGATGCTTTTCCATCGGCAGTTCTTTCTGGAAGATTTCAACATATCCCAAGGCATTTGAGACTTTGTTCATGCTCCTCTGAGTCAATAGAGACCCTCCCCCATATTTTATTTCATTGCTCTTATTATGCAGAAGAAAGAGCACTTTTAATTACACCTATATTAAGGTCATTTAGGGTCCAAGGACAACTAGCAACCCACTCTGAGGAACTTGTGCTGAAATATCTATTGGAGGACAAATCCATTGCAATATCAAGGAATGTTGCTAAATTTCTTTTTATTGCATTTGCAAAGCGCAAGCTCCTCCTTAATATTCCTTATGATGTATCTTCTCTGTAATGTTTTGGTAACCTGGGTTTGCTTTTTATGATCCTGTATGCTGTTTGATGGGTCTTTGACCGTAATAAATAATGATGATGATGATAGAGTATTGGGCTAGGATTGGGAAGACCCAGGTCTGAATTCCCACCCTGTGATGGAAGCATTACGTAACTTTGGGCCAGTCACACTTTCTCAGCCTCACTACCTCACGGGGTTGTTGTTGTGAGGATACAATGGAGGAGGGCAGGGTAATGCTCTCCACTGTGAAAAAAGTGCTATTAAATAAATAAATAAATAAATAAATAAATTAAGTCTCTCCATAGAGGAATACATAGTCAATATTACTTGGGACTGCAAAAGATCTGCACAGACATCTGCTTGCTTTTACTCCTTGGACTTGTATATAAAATCAGGGAATACTTCAGGCACAATCCAGTAAAAATAAGTTTCAACTAAATCCCACTGAAAGCAATTTAGCTTTTGCTGGATTGTGCCATTTGTATTCTAGTGTAATTTACACATGCATTCCTCTATTGGCCTGTAGAGACCCAGAGCCCAGAGTTTATTGCATTAAGACAAACACAGGAAGTTTCATAAACTTCTGCATACAAATGTTTAACAACTGATAGCAGATGAAGTTCCTTTCAGGCATGTTAATATACTCCTGTGCAGAGGAAGGTATATAAAAGGAAATTTGAGAGAAAGGGATAGCAAAATGGAAATAGGGAAGAGAACAGGACAGCACAAAGAACAGGGAATTGCATGGAGGATGTCAAATAGATGCAGGATAGGTGTGGCCCACGTGTCAAGCATTGAACTTCAGTACCCAGGAGTGGGTCCCCCTCGGTCCAGGTTGTAAACTTGTCTGGGGTTGAGTAGATAATGGAATTTTCGATGGACCCTGGTGAGACAAAACAAAAAGTAACGGCCCCTAAGAATGAGAACCAAGGCAAACAGTAACCCTTTCTCAAGGCTAGCTGCTATTCCCCCCCCCCCCACCTCCACACCACCACCCACCTAAACTTACTCCAGGCAGATCCATTAACATAGCAAGCATTAAACCACCTACTTGCTTGCCAGCATTAATCTTTCAAATGTGAGTTGAGCACTGAATTCTACTGAGTTACCCAAATGCCTTTAGTGCTGAGACATAGAGATCTGTCCGATCAAAGATCATGGTATAACAACTGAGGCTGAAAAGTGGTCAATATTCTTAGAGTTAAATGATAATGAAAGACCTGCTATTGTTAGATAGATTGTTAGATACTGTTACTTCAAACATGAATTTTTTGGTAGTGGAGAGTACCATCAAGACCCAACCAGCATATGGTGACACATGGCATTTTCAAGGTAAGAGGCATTCAGAGGTGGTTTGCCATTGCCTACCTCTGCGTAGCAACCCTAGACTTCTTTGGTGGTTTCCCATTGAAATACTAACCAGGGCCAACCCTGCTTAGTTTCTTAGGGACAGAAAATATTGCTAGTTAATTAAAAATGTCAAATGCTTTGAGGTGTTTTCTTGTTTTAAATATAGGTTACACATGGGGGACCCACAAAGACTTACAGGAGATATCTCATATTGCCCAGTATTCCCTCTCCCATTATTTTCTCTTTTCCTTCCCCAAAAGCCCCTATAGCCTCTCTCCCTTTTCCTGCTTCCTTTTCTCCTTCCCATCCACCACCCAACCTACCTTTATCTGCCCCTGTCTTCAGCTGTCGCTCCATTCCTACCCCTTGTACGCTCTCCCTGCGAAAAGTCTGGCCTAGTCATGCAGTGGCTGGCACTCAACGGTAGCCTGGGGGCAGGGACATGGGAGGGCACTGTCTTGTCAATGTCATTATGTCATTTCCAGGGTGAACCTGGAAGTAATATCATGCCACTCTAGGATTCAACAGAAATTCTATTATTCTAAAATTGAGTTTCTGCTGAACTATAGAGTGGTATGACATAACTTCCAGGTTCAACCTGGAAATGTTGATATGATGACTATTTCCCCTTCTCCCCCCCAATGCCTTACTAAGGGACAACTCAGGGGGCTGCCAGTAGATTTCCTGCAGTAGTGGAAGAGCTGGCAACACGTGGTAGCTGCCAGTGCAGGGCTGGGCTAGGCCCAGTTATGCAGTGGCTGCTGCTTGTGCTGAGGCAGGCCTACTGGTAGGGCTGCAAACTTCCAGAGGGTGGCTGGAGATCTCCCACTATTACAACTGATCTCCAAGTGATTGAGATTGGTTCACCTGGAGAAAATTGCCACTTTGGAAGTTGTATTATATGGCATTTTGCTCCAAATCCTGCCCTTCCAAATCTCCAGGTATTTCCTGTCTCAGAGCTGGCAACTCTACCAACTCTACCAATACTGCCATTGGGCAGAATTTTCACGTTACTGACAGGAGCGGGGGGTGGAAATTAAAAATCACTGTCATGAAGAAATCTCAACACTACCATTGGGCCAGGCTGGGTCCAGTAGTATAGTGGCCACTGCTACTTGACCTGCTTTCTTCTCTCCTTCCTGCCCCCCAGCCAACTGATCTTTATCTGCCCCAATGTCTACCCTGACAGTCTCTCTGTGGGAAAATTCTGGCTGGACTGAATGCTGGCTGGCAGCAGGCTGGGCTGTGCAGTGACCCAGCTTGGCCAGGCTGGCTCAGCTGCACAGTGGCTGCCAACCCAGGGCTAGGATGAGTTGTGTGGTTAGTGAGTTTCTAGTAGTTGCTGCTGAGCCTTCTCCATCAGGGGACATGACAGTTGAGGGGGGTGAGACTAAAATTTCCGATGCTCAGATGTAACTGGTATAACAAGATCCGTGACAAATATATTACTCCTCTTATAACAGATATGGTGGGACAATCAGGTGCTGAGCAATGTAACCGATTGTTAATTGATGGGAACCGGACAATTACCGAAACTGTGGCAAAATTTTGGGTAGCATGCTACTGCATCCGAAATACACAATCAAATGTATAATAATAGTTGCCTAATAGTCT